GGCCCTTCCTCCAGCACAGGCTGTGGTCCTGCCCCAGGGAAAGAACAGACGGAATCAGGTGATCCAGGAAGCCTTTGTCATCCCCACCACATGCAGTATTCCAAGGACAGGCCTGCTGCACTCTCCACCTACAGTGCCTTTATTCAGTCCAGCTGGGCTGCTGCTCTGTGGCTGGGGCTGTAGTAAAGTTTGCAGAGTGCTCTCAGAACCCCGTAAATCAGGGGTTATGGGGATGCTGGGGACACCAGATGCAGGAGGGGTGTGTGCAGATACGGTTCCCTGCTTGGGAAGAGACTGGCTTAGTGGGGAGATGGTTCTAGGAGCTCCCAAGAGAGTGAGAAAGATGCGGGAGCTCAGGGAACGGGGTGGGGTCGAGGACTTTGAGAGCTGGCAGGTCCTTCCTGGGAAATACCGCGGTGCACCACTTAGCAACAGGGACAGGTACTCACTCAGAAATGCGTCATTAGGGGAATTCTTCTGAGTTTGCCATGAGCAAACCTGGATGGGCTCAGTCAGTCACTGCACATGGCCTGTGCGTACAACTGAGGGATATGGGACACAGATGCATGGGGCTGCTGCTGCTGTAACATGGCCAGTACCGTGCTGTTTGTTACCAAGCACTATGCCCTGAATGTGACTGTGCCGTTCTTTTAGATACGGCTGGCAGGGCAGTAGGTTTGTTTACACCAGCGTCATCACCACCTTGTGACAGATATATTGAGTTATGACATCATCCAGTGATAAGAATTCATTAGCTCTGTTAAAATCTGGGACCACTGTTGTGTGTCGTCCACGGGTGACTGAAAGGTAACTGCACTTTAAAAGATCGTGAGGAATGAGAGGAGGAACAGAGGCACAGAGCAGAGGCTCCCAGTACCAGTTCACTCCTTGGAACTTGGGATCATCTGTGCAGCCACCCTAACCTTGTAGTAACTCTGCCTCCTCGCACCAGGGCTTCCTGGGCTGGAAATGCCAGTAACTGGGGATTTGGTGTCAAAAGTAACACTCAGGATCTCAACTGTGACTCTGGTATACAAGAAAGGTTGCATTTTATCTTAACTTTACTTAATTCTTAGCCTAATCCTCCAGGCTGTGGGAAATCCAACCCCAGTCATGACTGGGCTCCTCTCCATGCTCAGGACTGGCACAGGCCCCGGAGGCTCGGGCTGCAGGAAATGCTCGGATCCCTCCTGTGTTCAGCAGGCTCAGCTCCTTCTGGGGTCCACCAAGCCACCTTGTCACTGTCTCAAGAATTTCCAAGCCTAGCTTTGTGCTTAGAACAGAGGCAAGAGATGAAATGTGACCAGGATAAATGACTATGTCAGCAATCTTCTTGTGTCTTAGCTTGGGCTGCTGTCACAAAATACCAAAGGTAGCTTCATTTCACACAGGTGTGAAGGCTGGAAGTTCAAGGTCCAGATGCCAGGGAATCTGGCGTCTGATGTGGGCCATCCTCCATGCTTGTACACAGCTGTCTTTTTGTACCCTTACACGGTACAGAGAACATGCCAGTCTTTCTGTTCCTCAAGGATACTAGTCCCAGCATGAGGGTCCTACCACCCTGACTTCATCTAACCTGATCACTTTCCAAAGTCACTCCCTCCTAATAATATCCCGCTTTGGGGTAGGGAAGCTCATGAATTTGGAAACAGGACGCACCCCTGTAGTCTCTACATGATGAAACATTCTTCCGGCAGGCAGCTGCTCTAATTGCCCTGCAACTATTGCAGGCACCTGGGGATGACATGCAGGAGCCAGGCGCAGGGGCAGCTTCGCTGCAGAGCACTGTCCCAGCCCCTCAGCCCAGGCTGTCCCTGTCTCTGCAGTGCTCGTCCACCTGTGGGAAGGGGCTGCAGTCCCGTGTGGTGCAGTGCATGCACAAGGTCACCGGGCGTCACGGCAGCGAGTGTCCCACCCTCTCGAAGCCAGCAGCCTACAGACAGTGTCACCAGGAGGTCTGCAATGACAAGATCAACGTGAACACCATCACTTCGCCTCGCCTGGGTGAGTACCTCCCTTGGTTCTGGTCTCCAGGGGCTGCTGTGTCCCCTGACCACGGGTCCTGCTGGCTGTGGAGTTCTGTAAGCCAGAAAGCCACCTTCTTGGGCCTTCACTGAGCCCTGGAGAAGCTGACACTTACCAGTTCTGGAGAAGAGGATTCAAAAGCTTGAAATAGGAGGATCACAAGTTTAAGTTTTGCCTGTTCAACTTAGCAAGATCCCATCTCAGAAAAAAACAGAAAAGCATAAATAATTCAGAAATGGAATTCAATTCATTAAGAAACATTTGCAAACTGTGTTATCAAATACAGTCCCTTCAGCATCCCATTGGCACGAGGACAACACCCCCGAAATGCACTAGGGTTCCTGTGTGTGGGCAAGGTGGAGGGAGGTGCTTCTTTCTGGAAATGAAAGCTCCTGGGAGTCAGTCGTGAGGCCCTGAGGATGTCCACATGGGACACACACGCACGGTGGAGAGGCTGCAGTTTTAGTGTGAGCAGTTGGGCCCTTGGTGCTCAGGACCTGGTCTTTCACCGGTCCGTGCTCAAGCCAGTGGAGGTCCAAGGAGGAGGAGGAACGTTCAATACTGGTATGATGAATTCCTTTCAGTTTCTGCCTTTTCAAACAGGAACCCCTAAAAACTACATTCCTCCCCAAAGCTCCTTTCCCTCACACAGGACTTCACTCAGGTGCAGGGTTATTAAAGCATCTCTGTCAGGGCTGAGGGCTTTTAGGCCTACGGAGGTAACTTGCACCAGCATAGGCCTGCTTGGTGTCTTCCAGGCACATCCTGTGAGCAGGGTAGTCAAGAGGGGGTGTTGGCTCTTGGGAGCAGCTTGAGCAAGAGGGTTTTGGTGCGGGGGAGCAGTGGAACTGAAGTTGTCAGCTTGAAGGCTGCTGGAGAGTTTTATTTGTTTGGGACGCTCAGCTACCTATTCGCAGAGAACTCAGAAATGGTGAATGGAGACTCTTAGGGTGCCTGGCCCGGTGCAACAGGGTGGCTGTTCTGAGTCCCACCAGGAGGGGAATTCACAGCAACCTGCTGGCTGGAGTAATAGAAATCAGAGGCAGAAGGTGAGGAAGCTGATGTGTGTGGGAGTGAACTCCACGAAGGTCTCCCGAGCCAGCGGTCAGTGATTACGCTGGGGTGTGGCGTTGATTCTGGGGGAAGGGAGGGTGTTTGTATGAGGTAGAGCGAGGCGGAGAGTCAGGAGAACAGGTAGCTGTCTGGGAGAAACCTGCGGAGGGGAGGCACATGACAGCCTGGCATTCTTCGGTTTGAAGGCAGGGTTTTGAGCAGGACCTGTCGGACGTGGGGGAGAGGAGGAGAGGAACAGCATGTAAAGCCGGGGAAGGAGACAGGCAGCATGTGCGTTGGGGAGGACACAAAGGTCCTGAAGTAACTGGAGTCATCTGTGAGGGAACGAGAGCGGGGAATGGGCCCCAGAAGAAAGGGATGCTCGTCGATTAGCTCAGAGGGACTCAGGCCTGTGGGCATTTGGGCAGGGCTGGTAGACAGAGGAGGGCTGCGGCAGTAAGTCTGGGCAGAGATGGGCAGTTTAACGGCTGAGCTCTGGGTACAAAGGAAGAAAGAGAGTGAAGGGATCGGGTCTTTGGGAGTTTGGGTGAGAATGAGAATGCCGAGAACAAGCCAGGGTGGGTGTTGGGGTTAGGGCTGTGAGTTTTGCCTGTCGTGGTGGCGGTGTGGGAGGGTGATGGGGTCTCATTTACGTGTCCAGAGTCAGCGCGCCTGGTCGCCATTTTTATCTACAGAAAGAGCTTTCATCTATGAACCAGGTATTGGCTGCGGGGTGGGGTTTTTATGTATGTTGGAAAAGTGGCTGAGATCGTGGTAGGTGGTTTTAAGGCAGCTGTAAATGGTATCCTAAGCCAGGGAGGGCGTGCGGGTATGGAGTTTGGGGGAGGCATTTTACAGGGTCTGGCTATAAGGCCAAAGTTAAGGACCCAAAGGCAGAGGGGACCAGCCAGGCTGAGGAATGAGAGCTGTGTGAGTGACAGTCTTGGGAGGGGGCTGCAGAGTAAGATTCAGTGTTGAGAGGCAGAGTCTGGTCAAGATGGCGGCTGAGACTGGCAGAATGAGTAGGGGCTGCCTCTAAAGCCTGGAGGTGAGGTGAGTGACTGCCCAGGTGAGGTGAGTGGCATGGCCCGAGGTGGGGTTGGCGTCAGTGAAGGTGAAGAGGTCTTGGGAATTGGGGTGGAGGGGAGGGGTTGCGGGGGAGTACGGAAGAGAAGGGCAGGGTGTGTGAGGAAGGAAAGGATTGTGGAAGATGTTGCCCAGAGCTTGAGGAGGACATCTGTCCCAGGAGGGAGTGGGACACTGGGGAATCACCAGGAGTGAGAGAGAGAGAGTGACTTGAAGGTGCTGTCGTGTAGGGATGAAAGGGCTGATCGTCAGCTCCCGCTGCCTATATTACCATGCCGGTCCCGAGAATACTGACAGGACTAAGTGGCCGCCGTGTAGGGGAGAGGAGATAGACATACCCTCCACCAGGAGAGTTGCCCTGGGCTCTTCTGTGGTGACGGCTGTGGCACCCTGCTAGTCCTTGGTTAGTAAGCAGGGGTCCCAGTGGGTCAGCAGGGCAGGGTGTGGGAGTGGTGGCCTCACCCTCGTTTTGGAGTGGGGACAGCCCACCTTCCAGTAGCCCGTAGTGGACAGAGTTTTGTGGGGCACTGGGGATTTGGGCATTGCTTTGCCCAGAGCCCTGTTTTGCCACATAGAAAGCAAGGCCCGGAGTTTGGATGGTTTGTTTGGGTCACTGGCCTGGCTAGAATGTGATTGTAAGAAGCTGGAGGGCAGAGTTCTTGGAGGCTTTTCTCTGTCAAGCTCTGGACTGTGATAGATGCTGAGACAGTGGTCATGAGATCAGCTGTCGGGGTCTGAGGACCATCCTCTAATAATTTGCATTTGACTCTAATGTGTGGGGCAGACTGTGAAATGAAGCCAGTTTTAAGAAAGAGGCACCCTCAGGGAAGAGCCGCCTAGGCTAGTATGGCCTTGAGAGCTTCTGTTAGGCAGGACATAAATTGGGCTGGACTTTTGATAGATCTCCCAGCTTTTGTCAAAGCTGATAGATTTAATGGGCCCTGTTTAGACAGGTGAGAATATACTGGATAAAGTTTTGGTGTTTTCCAGTCTCTGTGACCTGGCTCATGGCTCCATCTAGGGTCCTGTCTAGGAACTGGCTTGAGGTCTGGGTGATTATTTTGGGTGTGGACCTCATCAGCTGTATGGGTAGTCATCTCCAAAAGTCACTATCTCTAAACGGGGAGAGTGGTGATGAGAATGATATAAATATCATGTCAGGGAAGGTCACAGAGGCAAGTGAGATGAGTGAGTTTTTTAATGTAACACGAGAAGTTTGACTACAAGGAGAGCTTTTAGTTGGGAGAGGTCAGAGAGGGAGAACATGATATGGGCGTTCACGTCCACAACCTCTTGCAGAGGGCTGCAGGGTTTGGGGTCGGGGTCCTCAGTGGCCTCAGCAGAGGTGATCTGTCAGGAAGAAGAATGGCCACGGGTAGGGAAAGAGGGAGAGGCTCGTTTGTGGAATAGAAGTTTTTTGTATGAGGAACAGTCTGGGCTTGCAGGCTGGCATGGGAGTGGCATGAGTAGAGCAGAGAGCAGCAAAAGTCCGATCATAGGGCACCTCTTCCCATTTGTCTGGGCTCTGAAGAAAGCAGTCAAGGTCAGAGAGGCTCTGAAAATTGAACAAACCGTGTTCTGACTAAAGAGAGTCATCATCTAGCTTATAATGTGACCAAGCCACCCTACAGGAAAGGATGAGGCGTTTTGGCTTAAAATAGAGTTGGAAGGCACATTACTAAGGAGGCGCCCATGGGGGGTGCCTTTATGAGGGGTGAGGCAGTTCCTCCCATGGTGAGTGGTGGGATTTCGGTGGGGGAGATACTGGGAAAGAGGTCTCAGATGGGCAGGAGGCACTGAGGCCACTGGGTGGTACTGCTTGGAAGGGGAGGAGGTGGGGGAGCCGTACACTGGAACAGGGGGGCTCCAGACCACCACCTCCAGAGTCTTCAGCACCAGATGTTAGGTACACAGTGACTACCTGGTAAAAAACACAAGCGGCCTGAATTTGGGGCTTCCAGGCGGCCCTCTTAGAGGAACGCCAAAGGAGAGTCCAAGTCCAGTTCATCAAGCTGGGTCATTTATGGATAAGGTTGGGCGCTTAGGTGGGGTGATGTGAAAGGGAAAGCAAGAATGGCTCATTATGTGGCTGAAGAGTGGGTGCTGTGACCTAGAAGGCAGTGTCATGTCTTAGAACAGGAATTGTTCCCTGGCTCAGGCTGGGGGCTGCAGGATGTAGGGATGGGCTGTGATTGTTCTCACAGCTCAGGAATTCAGGTGGCAGGGGACAAAGTGTCACTTGGGTAGACACAGCGGTATAACGCCTGTAGCAGGAAGTGGCAATCAGCGGAGGCCCTGCCGGGGCCATCCCAACTGTCAGACCACAGGCCAGCTCTCTGCATGCATGGTGACATGTTCCTGCTTTCCCTAACCCAGGCATCCTCTTTCCACTGTCCCCCTAGCTGCACTGACCTACAAATGCACCCGGGACCAGTGGACAGTGTATTGCCGGGTCATCCGAGAAAAGAACCTCTGCCAGGACATGCGGTGGTACCAGCGCTGCTGCCAGACCTGTAGGGACTTCTATGCAAACAAGATGCGCCAGCCACCTTCACCACCGAGCTCATGACGCATGGCCCGGGAGTGGCTTCACAGTCAGACTGGAGGTCTGAAGCCTGGCATTCAGTGAGCGGAGAGCACAGCAGCCCTGCCGCCAGGCTCCCCAGAGCGCACCCCTAAGAGTGCCCCAAGAATCCAACTGCTTAGAACTTGAGAGTGGACTTAACAGTGCCCTTAGTACTTAATATATTGTTAGCAGCCACTGGATGGCTTTCTGCAGCAAGGAAAAAATAGGCATGAGTCACAAAGTAATTGTAGTTTCTAAGATGCGTGTACCTCCAAGGGGAACCCCTCTGGCAGACAGTTGTCAAAAGAGAGAGTTTGGTCCTCCTGCCCTGGGGGCACATCCTGAAACCAAGACATTGTAAGTCAGAAGACGCCTTTGAAAGCCAACAGTTCCTGGGAGAGGAGGAGAGATGGCAGCAGACCTTTGCTGATGGCTTCTCTGGATGGGGCCGGACTCCCAGAGCCGACATTCCTTTTATTCTGTCTTTCCGACAACACTATTTTGCCTCTCCGCCCATCTGCAAGAACATACATATATTCCCCAAATCCTGGGTCTTGCCTTGCAAGTCTTATCCCTGAGAAGTTAAATCTGCATAGACCAAGGAGAATGCCAGCACCACACAGGTCTCCACCCCATCTCTGTGGGGAGAGCATTCCAGAAGGTCTGGGGAGGCATCTACTTTTCAGAGCTCCGCTGTCTACTACATAGGGGAAGAAGAGCCTCTCTTCAAGGTGCTGTGAAAGGACACGTGTGCCAACGGTGGTGACAGGACTGCTTCCTCACACAGGTGAGCTTGCACAGCTTTGTCGGAGCGAAGCAGCCCTCACACTCTGTCTTGGGGGGGGAGCCACCCCAACCAGCACTCCACAAAGCTTTGTTCCTCACAGACACTGTGTCACAGCCCAGTAGCTTACGGAGGACCTTGGCTTTTTCTCTGAACCTCTGAGGACACAGCCTGTGTGCTGTAAGGCAGGTTTCCTCTTGCCTGGTGGGCCAGGACCCGTGCGGGGACACCGCCTGGCTGGAATGGTTACATGCCCACTACGGCTTCCCCCAGCCCAGACTCCATGGTACCTGCCATGCTGCCACTAATGACCCATTTCCTTAGTGAGGCGAGGATGGTGCTCGGAAGACATGAAGAAGTCCTTTCTCCCAGTCCCCTCCTCCCAGAGCGCTTCCTTCTCCAGGAGGCCAGAGAAGTGACCAGAGTGGCCTCGTGGGGAGCGCAGCAGATGGTGGAACACAGGCTGCCCGGGAGGCCTGGCCTGGAGCCCGTTTTGCTCACCCACCTGGTGGGCGTTTCATGGGTGCTTTTGTTCTTTTTGACTTTTTACCTGGAGAAACACACCTTTCCCACCCCACCCCCCTGGTTTCGGACAGAGGCTCTTCCTTGGGCCAGTTCCATGGAATAGTCTCAAGTGCTTCTTGATTTATTGGTGCTGTTTTGTTTTTAATTTTTGCTGTCCCAGAGCAGAGAAGCGGGAGGGATGGCAGGAAATTCACTTGATTCCACTTGAATCGATGAGTGCTGAGAGCGTTCTCCGGGTGCTCTGTGGAGTAAGCTGGGAGAATGTCAGGATGGAGGCGGAGGAGCCACCTGCAGGGTAACCCTGCAGCGGACACCCCAGGGATGGTGTGAAACCCCGCTCCTGGCAGACGCCCCAAACCCACTCCCACAAAACCGTCAGATTCTAGGGAGCCAGGGGAGGTCAGTATTCTCCCAGCCCAAAATGTGCTGTTTGTTCACCAAGAGACAGTAGCAGTTCGGAGCAAAGAAGCAGAGCTGGGGCAGCCATGGTGGCCTCCCTTGCTCAGCCCGCGGGGCCCGCCAGAGGGGGCGAGAGCATGCACGTGCCCGTGGCGCACACGTCCCCTGGCCACCCTGACTGCACTTCCGCAGCAGGAGCCCCACACCCTCAGAGTGAACACGATTCAGTTGTTAGCGAACACCCTATGGTTCTCCAAAGCCCGCGTCTCTCTTCAGCTCCCTTAACTCGTGCTGACGTCACTCTGAACGCCACCAGCTCACCACCTGCTCATGGCAGCGGCCAGACACCATCGTGGTATTCTTGCTCCACTCTGTGACGTCTCTGCGCTAACAATACCTTGCACTGTTGCCCCAGTACTGTACCTTTGTGGTCACACAGGTGTGTCAGTAATGAGCATCTTGTGATCTTATGGTGCTATTTTAATTGGTGCCGATGAAACCCTCTTGGTTGACTGTGGCTTGCTGTCCTCAGAAGACAGGAGAAGATCCTCAATGCCAATCACATTGTTGCTCTTTCTCTCTTTTCACTGCAGAGTCAAATGTATATATTTTCCATTAGTTAACTGACATTATGTACTGTACCCATGGTATTTTTTTGTTTTACTTTTTGGTGCTGGTTTTGAAAGAAAAAAAAAAAAAGACAACCATTGGATGCCATTATACATGAAAAATTAATCATTTCGTTGGAAGCAAGTTGAACATGTGTAATAAAATGTTTTTCCATAACATTTTTGAGCTGTCTGTGAGGTACAGAATGAAAGCCAGTCCTCGGCTGGCAGGAGGCGCCCGTGTCCCTCCCTGCTGCAGGGTTGCCTGGCCTGCCTGGACCTGGCCTGGCTGCAGCGAGCCACAGCCTGCTGACCGCAGCTGCAGTCTGAGTCCGAGGTCACTGGCAGATGCAGTCCTGACAGGTGGCCGCTGGTCCCTGAGCGAGTGGTAACAAATCACTGAGTGCCCGGCCTTGTGCTTGTGTGGTTGCAAATCCCTGGGTGGGGCGTGAAAGCCTGGCAGCTGTACGCATGTCAGGCCTCCAGCAGGGAGCCGCCACCTTGCCGGCAGAGCAGTCTGTGCTCCCTGGGTGTGAGTGACCCATGCTGGGGGCGTTTCCACCAGGGAACAGGCCCTGGCCATGCCACAGTGGGTGCCCATACCTCTGTCTGGGGCTCCCCAGCTCTTAGCCTACCGCTGCCAGCTTCCCTCCTGCAGGAGGCAGGTTGTGTCCACCTCCCAGTACTGGGGATACAACAGCACCACACCGTCACAGTTAGGACAGTCACAGCCATTTGGACCCCATGTGGGCCTCACTTGGAACAGGAATGTCACAGCTGCGGCGGAGGGGGGGCACCCCATCTCCTTGCGCTATCAGGAGAACATGTCAAGTGTTCCCAACCCCCAAGGACTTAGATGAGTCCCCTATTAGGCTGGCAGCGGCACCCAGAAATGGCACTGAATAAAGACAATTTAATAGAAAACTGCCCACAGTCCCTAGTCGCCGGGAATAGTACTCCGTTTTGCATTACTGTATGAGATACCCAAAGTAGCTAACTTCACATAGAGGTTTGTTTTACTCACAGTTGTGCAAGTCCAAGGTTGCGGGGCTGCAGGTGGCGATGCTCTTCGAGCTGGCAGTCCGGAGGTGGCCCAGGGGTTCAGACTTACCTAATCCTGATCATCTGACGGCTGCACCTCTGAATGCCACCGTCAGCTCCTGCCCTCGTGACACCATGAACACAGGACTCTGGGAATTACACTTCTCCGCCTCTGCTGTGAGTTCCGGGGCTCAAGCCACACTTGGAGCACAGCACCAAGAAACCTATAGTTTGTATTCATTCTCCGCAGCCGTCACCTGCCCTGACACCCGGTAGAATGCCCTCCTTCCCGTGAGTGCTCTGATGTCCAGCTGGCTCACTTTGGCACGTGATTCCTTTGGATGTGGGTGGCCCTCAGTGTTTCATCTGTGAGGTGACACTGACCTGCTGCCCCTCAGTGAGCTTCTGTTAAGGACCCCACGCTTCCTAGATCTGCCAAGATCACGAAAGAATAAGTCACTTACTGAGCTCTCACCGCTCTGCTAGGCAGACAAGCCAGGAGGCCCCACAACAGGAAATGAGCGGAGAGAAGACAGCAGGAGCTCTGAGGAAGGGAAGGTCAAGGCTTCCGCGTGAGTTTATTGACTGACCTTCTAGAGACAGACCACAAGTGTTGGCCTTGGAACCCCTTACAGTGTTGCTCTCCCGCTGCGCAATGTCTGTCTGCTTCCAGGCACACGTCGGCCTGCATCTGTGTCCTGCTTCTGTGGGCCAACCGAAGTGGGGCACCGCCCTCCCAGGAGGCTGCCCTCACTCACACCTTCACTTCCCACGCACTGCCTCCACCTCCTCGCTGTCTGAGCCCTCGCTCTTCCTGGCTTTTGCTCCCGCTCTGTAGCAGTGTGGCAGCCTGACTTCCCAGATCCCCTTGCGTGGACAGCTACATCGCCTTGTCCAGCCCTCGCCTTCGGCTCCTCCTCTTGTCCTAGCTCCTGCGGCACCACACGTTCCTGACCTTTTCCCTCGTCCCGGTGGCTCCTTTAGCCCCACTAGTTCCCTAGGTGATGGAGTCGCTGGAGCTTGGCCCCACCCTTTCTCACTCTCCTTTCTTTCCAGGTTGGATCACCAAGACCCAAGACATTGAAAATTATGCTTCTGTACCCTCTCCCAGAGGAGCACCTTTGGCCCTGACCCACTCCTCAATCCCCACTGGAAACTGGGACTGGGCTGGCCCTTCAGGTTGTCCCAAATCTGCACCCCTGGCAGGGTCAGCGGGAACAGCTCACTTCTGCTGGCAGACCATGGAGAACAAGCAGAGCTTGCAATTAGCAGAAGGCCCATAGGTTTGCACATGTGGCCGCTGATGTCTGCTGTCATTAAGAACCTCAGCTAGGACTGCTGCCCACAACACCTCAGAGGCCACTGGTCCTGTGGTGTGGTGGGGGGCTTCAGGTACAGACACCCGGACAGAAAGCACAGGACATTCGCAAGAGCTATGTCACATCTGTCATTCTCTAATAGTAAGACAGTCACAAGGGCCTCTGCAAGAGTCAACCGCTTGCCAAAGACCTGGCAAGGTTCCAGAGGAACAGATAGGATAGGAAATATTACGGCGGCCAGTTGTGGAATATTCATACACACACATCCTGTATTACTCAAGGTTCTCCAGAGAAACAGAACCTATAGGATAAACACATACAGAAATACAAAGGAGATTTATTATGGGAGTTGGCTCCTGTGATTATAGAAGCCATGAAGTCCCACAGTGGAGACTCAGGAAAGCTGATGGTAGAATTCAGTCCAGGTCCTAAGGTTTGAGAATCAGGAGCTCTGACACCGAAGCACAGGAAAAGATGGCTGTCCCGGCTCTGCGAGACCCTCCAGAGTCACGCTGAGCTAACGCAGAGACCAGAAGCCACCTTTTCTCCACTTTTTGTTCCATTTGGGCCCTCATGGGAGTGGATAACGCCTGCCCATACTGGTGAGGGCAGATTGTTTTGCTCCATTTTCTGATTCAAATGCTAATCTCTTCTGAAAACGTTAACAGAAATACCCACATCTTCCATTTTACCACTCCTAAGGTTCATCATCACAGCCCATGACAGGCAAAAGACACTCACCCTTCCTGCATTCTACCTCCAAAGTCTCATCGTGTGTCAGCCTCTGGTTCAGGGTTAAGGCCCAGGGTTGCATCTTCTGAGTCGGGTACCGCTGAGGCTCCTTCAGTGTGGTTCCCCAGGCCCTGTTCTTGAGCAGTGTCTCTCTGGATCTGTGAAGTAAAACAATACATCATCTCCTTCCCACCTAGATGCTCAAGAGGAAACGGTGAACCGGGTATAGGATAGGTGCTATAGATGCTCCCTACATCCAGAGGAGGGCAGGGGAGATCCATGGAAGTCGCTGTCCAGAGGTTCTAAAGTTTGGCTGGGCATGTGTTGCCTGTTCCGTTAGGTGTGGTCCTCCTGCTGGAAATGATTCTCCATGGACTTTCCCAAACCCAAAGAGACTTCCACTTGTCATCACTCACCCTTCGTGGTAGGGGAAGCAAGATTCAGGGGTGGCCAGAGTGTCCTGACATAGTTCTGATCACTGGACTCCTAAAAATGTCACTGTGTAGTGGGTCTTTGACCCTTTGTAGGGCTTTTCTCCCATGCTGTACAGTGTAGGTGTCTTTACTACATCCTCCAATTCACTTGCCACTTCTCGCTTTTCTGGTCTAAGATCACAATAGGGTGAATTAAGGTGAATCTAGGAAGGGATTCTACAGCCAAGCCATTTCATAACAGAGAGTAGAAGAGTTAACATCAGCCCTGGGGAAGATCTGAATGATATTGTTGTCTGTCCCAGATGTGAACTGCTCTGCTGTCCCTTCATCACTGGGATAGGAGAGAATGCATCTTCTAGTCAATGGCCATACTCCTCCTTGAGTTTGAACCATGTTGATTTACTCCCTGAAAGATCCCACATCGGGCGCAGTACTTCATTTGGGGTTAATTCCTAGTTAAAATTGTGATGATCTATGTTACCAGGCAGCATCCATCCTACATCCTGGAGCCAGGTTGCTAAGTTACCTGGGAATGTGATGGGGACTTTATGCCCTGCTGCATTCTTTAGCTCTTTAGATATGACATGAAAATATGCCATTCTTGGAGCTGGGGATATGTAGCTCAGTGGCAGAGCCTGTACTTAGCATGTGAGAGGTCCTGGGTTTGATTTCCAGGACCATGGGGGGGAAAGCAAATAAACAAAATGAGCTATTTCTTGCTGAGTTGCAATGTCAGTACTGATGTATTTTCTTGCCTGGAGAGAGGGAGACAGTTTCAGAGCCTTCCACGTGGCCTTCCCTACTGCCGCAGCTCTTGACAGGCCAAGGAGCACAATTATTATCTGAACCATATCCCCTTCGTGTTAAAAGACCCGAGTGGGGCTGGGGATTTAGCTCAGCGGCAAAGCGCCTGCCTGGCAAGCACAAGGTCGTGAGTTCGGTTCCCGGTACCGGAGAAAAACCAAAACCAAAAAAAAAAAAAAGACCCGAGCACTAGGTCCAGGGTACCAAGGTGAATTTGGATCCTGTGTGCAACAGGCCTCTAAATCAAGGGTCCCCAGCCCCCAAACCATGGATAAGTACTGGTCTGCGGCCTTTTTAAGAGGCTGGGCACACAGCAGAATGTGAGTAGCAGGCGTGCAAGCAAAGTTTCATCCATATTCACATCTCTCACATGACTGCCTGAGCGCCACCTCCTGTTGGACCAATGACAGCATTAGATTCTTATAGAAGCGTTAGATTCTCATAGAAGCACAAACCCTACTGAGAACTCTGCATGCGAGGGATTCAGGTTGTGCCCTATTTATGAGAATCTAATCCCAAAAACAGCCTCACTCCTTCTGTGGAAAAACTGCCTTCCATGAAACCAGTCCCTGGTGCCAGAAAGGTTGGAGACAGCTGCTCTAAATGTCTGTGTACCTTCCTGTCCACCAAGTAAATGACCGAAAGTCCTCTGGGGGAAAGTTAGTGCTGATTGTGTGCTACCTTTCCCTTCTTACAACCCAGTGCATGGACTGTAGTCCTTCAGTGCATGGACTGCAGCCCAGAATGGAAACTGAGTAAGGTGTAATTTGAGGGTATGGTTGCTCTCAGACCATCCATCCTTTTTTTTGCTGAATGTAAACTGAGTTATATCCTTGTTGGCTGTCCATCTATCCTGCCCTATGCAATGGTTCTATTAATAATTCCCAAAGCTATCGACAGGTCAGGACCTCCATTGCTGTTATCCTAACATTGGCACTCACTTTGATAATTATATCACCCTGTTTCAGTTGTTAAGGTCTTCCATCCTCTGAGCACTCTGATCCCATTCCATCCACCCACCATAGAGATTTAACTTCCCTTTGTGTGGCCATCACTTTCCCAGGATCGCATGTGCTGTCTCTCTCCCTGGGGCATTGCCAGGGGGTTCAGTCCATAGAGAGCACTGCACCGCCTCAGATTTTCCCTGCCCACCTTTGGTCCATGTTGTTGTCTGACACCCCCAGATTGGGTCACGCATGCTCTGACAATGTCTACAGGTATGTTTTTTCAGGTCTTGCTGTGCCTTTGGTACCTAGTGCCTTCCCTTCCCCAGCTGGGTTATGCTGTCACTTAGTTGTCTATCTGGTAGGCAAGCAGGAAGTAGAGACTAATTTTGAGGGACTCATGGCATCTTACAAGGGGGAAGCCCTAGCATCATCTTCAAACAAGGAAGCAGTGACAGCATTAAAAGGTAAGAGCCACTTCTGTAGGCTGGGAAGATTCCAGAATGTGAGCTTCATAGTTGTTAGGGCATTGACTTAAATAATCCCATCCCAATTTCAAAGTCTCCCTCTTTCCTAATCATTGTCCTGACCAGGAGTTAACCAACCTACTGGGGCGGAGCATTCAACCTTCTCAGCAGCTTCCCTAGTCTTTACATTAGTCTTGCCTGATCCTTAGCTTTCTCTGACCTCCTGTTATAAAAGTGTGGCTCTGACATTCACATTTCACCTTTAATGAGTGATTAATCAGCAGCAGCAAGTTTATTCTCTTCATCACGTCGCTAACTTTCAGCCACAGCCATTTCGTTTCATGACCTTGTCACATCTATTTTTTCACATCTTCTAAATGCACCAGCGGTGAAGGTTTTGCCATTGCTCATACAGATGACAGGGTTCTGCCTCCTGTGCTGGGTTCTTGTATCCAGCTAGTAGGTTCTTGCTCTCCCAAAATCTTATTTTAGGATCTGCTTTCTAGAGCCGGTCTTAGGACCAACTTCCTTAGACCATATTCTCAGAACCAAGTCTCTGAGATGGTGATTGGTGGACAAAAGGTTTACTGGGAGGTGCCCTTGAGAACACCATGATGGAGAGCAGACGGCTGGGGATGGGAGCTAGGAAACTCGGATACAGTCACAAGAAGGGATGAGCCAGGGCTGTGGGAGCTGTGGACCTGGAACAGCCTTCAGAGTTGCCCCAAATAGGAAGAAGGAGGCGAGGCTTTGCACATCATGGGCAGGGGTGTGATCTCAAGAGGCCACTCCTTGAGGGCAATGCTCAGGGACAGACTTTCTGTGGAAAGCCAGCACTCCTGGCCTCAGGAGAATGAGCGCCTTACCCTTAAAGGGGCATCTGTATAGCATACTAGGGCATGCACTAACATGCTTCAAACTCAGATTTTTCACAAAATTAAATTCTCAATTTCCCCCCTTATTCACCCCAGAGGTTTCCTCCAATCAGCAAATGGCACCACGAACCGGCTGGTGTCTGCTGTCAAAACCTCAAATTCACCTTTGCTTCTTTGGTTTCCCTTTCCACAAGTACCACTTGGTCCTGCCTCCATTCGTTGTCCTTAATTTCTCTGCCACTACTATGAGCCAGCTGTGGCTTTCTGTCTTAGTTGGTGAGGGATTCTATAAGCAAATACTTTAGGTGATGTATAAACAACAGAAATGTACTTATCACAGTTCTGGAGGCTGGGAAGTCCAAGACCAAGGTACCAACAGATTGGGTGTCTGGTAAGAACTGCTTTGCTTCACAGATGGTACCTTTTTCCTTCATTTTCACCTCTCTTGGGCTGCTTTGTTTAAAAAAAGGGCACTAATTGCATTGAGCAGGGCCCCAGCTTCCTGATCTAATCTCCTCCCAGAGGCCCCTCCTCTCAAAACCACTACACTGAGGATTCAGTTTCAATACAAGACTTCTGAGGAGTCACAAACTTTAGAGCCACAGGATTCCCTAAATCTCTTCTTCCTTTCTGGCTCCCTCCAATATATTCTCCCCACCCCAGGCAAGATAATAGTTGGAAAACAGAAACCATAATAAAACACAAGACATAACATGACTATTCTCCTGCTTAAAACCCTCCAATAGCTTCAGGCACTGTGGTCCTGCCCTCCCTCCCTGTCCTTCCCACAGAGGTGGCACCTGCCACAGGCTCCTTTCTATCCTGTGATCCCTCCACTCTCACCCACCTCTATCCCTTTACAGTTTTCCTTCCCCTTTATGGGGAATGTCCCCTCTCACCACACAGTTTTCCCACGGCTGATGTATGTACCCTGGACAGCCCAAGGGTTACTCCTCACACAGTTGTGCCCGAGGTATGCCACCAAAGAGCCTTCCCTAGCGTGGCTGCCATGTTCACCCTTCCACAGTACTTGCCATAACTTAGAATTATTTTGGTAACTTTTTTTCACATGTGTACTGTGTGCTTTCCCCTCTGAAAAGTAAACTGCACCAGGGCAGAAACTGTATTGCGTCCCTCTCGTGTGTCACTAGATCCCAGGTGTGCAGCAGATGTGTGTTAAATAAACAAACTTGCCCTCTTCAAGTTCCAATTTCTGCTGCTGACATTATTTTCGGATAAATTGAGGACTGTACCAGACAATGTTTGTACTGGATAATAAAAATGCATTCTAAATTTGATGATTTTTTTTGGCTTAAACCTCAAGTGATACAAATATTTGGACAACCAGCTTTAAATCAATGAAAAAAAGATGTATGCCATTTTTCAAATTCTCCCCCTTGTCAGCCACCCTTTGCCAGCAAGGATAGGTGTTGCCAGGTGGTTGCCATGGTAACAGAAAACTTTTTTTTTTCCTCCTTGTCATTGTATCTGTGGGATAAGAGAGTGAGGGTGGTATTCAGGAGGCAAAGAATGTCTGCAGTTGAGCAAGGACCTTTGTAAACTTGCTATGGTACCACCCTTGGATGTGTCTAGAATAAAAATTCCCAGTGTGTGGCTTCTGGCGCTGTCAGGAC